CATAGTTCAGTTATGGCTGAGAATTATTTATTTATTCTATTTATTTATTGTTTATTTTCATTTTATTTGTCATTTTAATATAATTTTTTAGTTTTTTTTCTTTTACAATTTTTTTCCTATATATACCGGTTAATCAAATGCATGAAAAGTTTCTAATAAAAATTTGCAAACTCTGCCAGTTCACAGGGCTTTGCTGGTCTTTTCATTTTTAGTACAATTGAAATGAGAAGAATAGTCTAGGATTTAATATCCTGCAATGCAGCTTTGACTCCTAAGTCTTTAGACTACTTATTATCCACAAGAGATGTAATCCTCAAAGCCAATATTTTTTATATAATTCACAATTTAAAAAAAGTATCTGTAGAACTTGCGGTGAAAAAAATAAAGGGAACAGCTACAATATATGTAATTGTTTTAACTAAGCCTTGACTGAACTTCCAAGGGTAACAATCAGCCTTTGAGTAGGAGACCAAACTCCTCTTGATATTAGAAGTTGTTAAATGTGACGACAAAAGCAGCAACATTGTAAATAAAACTGGTAAATGGTTAAACAAGGCAACTATAATGCTACCTTCACATATCACCTATCGGCAACTTCCTACTTCCCACTTCTGAAGTTGTAATTACCAGTTTGTCATGTTCAAGTGCTTTGTTGTTGGAAAGAAAAGAAATCATGGTGGACGGCCCATTCATGAGTTTATTCTTGTCTGTCTCTCGGGGAATCTTATTAAAGCCAAACTGCATAGAGGAGTTTGGCTCAGCCCCAACCCCCCCCACCCCCCCCCCCCCCTCCTCCCGTGCATGCCACTGGCGCTGGCACTCATTTAAAGTAAACATATTTGTATTTGTGTTGTATTTGCTTTCACTCTTGCTGTTTTCCCCGCTGTTTAACTGGTTAGGCAGGAGGTGGTGGGCCACGTAAAACAGTAGGAAGTATAGCAGGAAACAGATGGCAGCTGTAATGTTTCTTTGCTAAAAGGACTACAGGGACTGTCAATGTAGCTGGATTGAGGAGGAGCGCAGAAGCTATGCTGAAATGTGTCAGTATTACCGCTAACTAATCAGGGCTCGTCTTGGCCCACGCAACAGAGACATTAAGTATTTTTGACATGAGATGGAGGAAATAGACAGCTAATGAAGATGAATGAGGAAAAGAGAGGGGGCCGCCTTGTCAGCAGGGATGATGGGCGAGAAAAGAGGCCTTCCAGTGAACGTCACTGGGAATCACAGCAATCTGACAAAGACACATTAATTGAAGGCTCATCTCCAAGTCACTGACCCACATAGTACTGAAGTAAAAAACTGTAACTCACTTTAAATATCCTGAATTTTGTTTAAAAATAATAATAATAATAATTGACTGCTTATTGTTATGGTTGGTGCTAATAAAGCTCACGAAGATGAGAATTAACACTAGGAAATAGACTTTAATAACAAAAATACTGAGGACAGATTTGAAATACACACCAACATAAATGAGCCCTGAGAAACACTGAGGGATAACTCATGAGTTAAGTACATGACCAAACAAAGGAACTAATAAGACAATTGATGGAACTCTGGTGAACTGAATACAACAATCAAACTAGAAACTAGGTCATACAATGGGGCAAACATGACACTGAAAACGGGGCATACACGTTACACATACTTTTACCCGGGGTTCACAATTAGCCTAATCCAGGGTTGCCAGCTTTGGTTGCTCAGCTGGAGATTTCAATGACTGAATCAATCAAATATAGCAGGATCCAACAATTTACTTTTAATTTCATCTAAATACTATAAATTGCCATACGATTATTGTGGTAATGCACTTTTTGGAAATTAATATTACTTATATTACTTCTAAGGTAATTTAAGGTAAGTCCGATTTTTTTTTACTGGCTACTTTGAGAAAAAACAATTGTGACAAAAAGTGTATAGTATGTAACTGTTACAATTTAAACTGCATAAAACTTGTTTGTCTACAGTTGTAAATCAGAAAGGTAGCTCCTTATTAGGGTTGGTCCTATTCCAGTTACTCATCTCATAAAAATTATTTATTCTGTTTAATTACTCATAAAAATGTATATTTTAGTCTAAATTTTTGTGCCCATTTCTCTGCTGGAATACAAACTCTACTGTAAGTTACGTTACTGACAGTGCACTATTGACAATTACATTTTCACTCGCCATAGTGTTCCGGCCAAACAGAACATTTATTTGCATTTGGCACAATTGGCGTGTTAATTTTGGGAACACAAACATCTGTCTCACCTGTTTCATCATTTTCTCTGTACTAGACATTGCGAAGGGCTGGGAGATATGGCCAAAATCACAATATATTTTTTCCTTATCATATAAAATCGATATTCATCACAATATTAATTTACCATAATGTGCAAGGAAATGATTTCCACGTGTTTCTTTAATTAATTTAAGGCCCCATGAAATATATTTTATTTTCCCCTAAATTCTGCTTTCCCTTTTATTTTTTTCCTAGATTCTGTGTTTTACGGTTCAATACAAATTTATGATAAATGTCTAATCAATTTTTTTATAAAACTTTAACAATTTAATAAATCTTTTAAAATGTAATGAAAACAATGAATTTACAACAAAACATTGCATTTTTATTTATTAATTTCAAATAAGATAATGCACAACAGCACTGTATAACGACGTGTCTTTGAAAATGTCTTTGTGTTTTATGATGTTTTATTAACAAGGTTGGGGAGGAGTGCGTCAGATACTTAGCCTCTCAAGTTAATCAACACCATGATATAAATACAGCTGACTTCTATCCATCGACAGTTTATCAGCATCCCTCCTCCACCCCATCTCCTCACTTCGAGTACTAGGGTTAGGCGGGGGGGGGGGTACTCTAGGTTTGGGCCATTCCCGAGCTCGGAGCCCTTCCCCGGACAGCACGCCAAATATGCATTACCATACTTCAGCTAATTATATGTAAGCGTGAACTCATGAAATGTAATTATAACCCACAGCTTCACTATTAGTAGAGAGACGTTGCACAGACGCAGTCGCGCTCTAAGAAATACATTCAAATAAATGTAATATTACTGTGCTTCTATCTGTATCTGATTTAATGACTGATAAAATAACTAATTAATTTCATATTGTGTCCATTGTCTATTTTAAAGCATTTAAATATGTTATTTTGCAGGTGAAAAGTGCCAAACTTGTTAATTCAAAGACTAGTGATGTCATCTCCACTTGCTATGCTGGTGCAGTCATCATACACAGTGGGTGCTTCTCAATATCCCTCCTTGTTTCCTCTCTCCGCCATCCTCCATTCTATGACCCGGAAACAGATCGAGCTCAGCCATCTTGAAGGACATCTCAATTCTCTAACTGCACCGCGAGGATCGAGGAGTGAGGGGGCTCCCTGAGGAGTCATGAGCGAGGATACACAGGTGTATAGTTTGCGGAAGTGTTTTTCATCGAAAAACCTGACGCACCTATAAACTCTCCTCCCCCTTCAAATCTGTTGTAATAATTTGAATTTATATTTTACCTCTGCAGTTTAAATAAACCATACATGTTATATATTTCAAACAGGGCATATTTTTTCAAATTTACAAAGCTGAAAGTTCAATGCAAACGGAGATATCATCTTTTAAAATTCAAGTATAAGACAACAAACAAAAAACTTAGGCCTACCATTAAAAGACGTGCTTCCACAGATTCTGCAGGATCCTCTTCAATAATATCCTCTGCTTCTCAATCGGGTTCAAACTGATAAGTGATATTAACGACCCCGTTGTTTACAATACAATCGGAGCACATGTCGCTGAGGTGAGGGGCGGGACGATTAGACGTGCGCTAGAGGCGGTTTAGCCAATCACAAAACACTGGGCTAGCTAACCAATCAGAGCCCATAGCCTATTTCTGAGGGCGGGGCTTCATAAAAGGCGGAAATGATCAGCGGGTTTCTCAGAGAAGGGACAGAGCGGTGTGGAATAAAGGTAAATTATGTGAAAAATAATGATTTTCTTTTTTAAACGAAGCATTAATACGTTAGATTGCACCCCATAAACACAATCAAGCCTAGAAAAAAAAACTTGAACCACCCCTTTAAATAACAAACTTTAACAACATAAGGGCAGATCCCTATTGCACAGCTGATGATGCTTCGAAGTGACGCTAAATGGAGCGAGGATATATTCCACTTGATTCAATATCTCCATCCTCATGTCTTTTCCTTGCATCCTGAAGGGGTGGAGCCAAGATGCTAGAAAAAGAAGCGAGGAAAGGAAATGAGGATGCACAAATAAGAATTGAAAAGTACCCAGTTACTCTTGGGATGGCCACATCTCTCTCCCACACTTTTCTAATGGTTTCTGGAATTAAGGAAGCCAGGGGCTCAATCACAGACACTTCCCAGTCAGCAAACAAATTTGGCCCAGATTTGGCATGCATCTGGCACAGCTGGCATTCATCCGGCACTGGCATGCAGCATGTGGGCCAAACATGGCCCGGGTTTGGCAGAGATGGTACTGGGTTTAAGACGGCACACAAGACATGGGCCAGATGTCAAATGTAGTATTTGGCCCAGATGTCAAATATAGATATGTGGGCCACATAAGTATGGCCGATCTTGACCCAAATTTAAAATCCATTTCAAATATTTTTGAGTAAAATCCCAATGTTTTCCCATACAGAAAGGTAATATATTCACATATATGTGAAACACTGTTAAATATATTGAAATATATTTTTAAAATGCATAACATAAAGCTCATGTTGCGTGTTTAATTATGTGTTTACATATGTGAAATTATATTCATGCCTCATATGATATTATATGATATATGATATTATAGCTTATATTATAGAATAGTATATTCTGTTGGTATGTATATTTATATATATAAACTGACTTCAAACAATGTTTTGCATTTACTGCTTTCATATTCTCATTCAATTTACAGTTTGATGTAGGCCTACTATCCACTTAAACAATACATGATGAAGTTTCAGGACATTTTATTTGACTTGTATGTACTATTTATGTAAATGTGTAACTTTGATGTGTTTTAACGGGCGCGCACGTTGAGCATTCAAATCGCATTTAAACTGGAGCGGAAGGCGTTACCATGGAAACGGGCCGTCAACTCACTCAGCTGACAAGTAGCGAGAGTCCATATCTCTGCTTTTTTCACTGCTTGTAAGGTAAGTTTAGTCGCTAATATCACACAAATAATACATACAACCATTCCTGACACTTTCATACATGCAATTGACACGTTTCTGTTGAATCTTTACAGGAATGGATTAGTGTCTTCAAAAAGACCATTAGCATCACAACCGTTAACTAGCTATAGAGGCTAACTATTAGAGGTAAGCTAACTATAGATTTGAGCTCTTATTAATGAAAGTTTGAGCTTTTAATCACATTTTATGTGTAGATCAGCCATTTTGATAGTTTGTAAATGTTTTGCTGGTACTTTGTCAATAGATAAATGGAAGTAATAAGCTAATTAATTTAACCTAAAAGTCTGCACTGTGGGGTCAATCGGGGACGTCAGTTGCATGAACTAATGGGCTGAAACTATTTCAAACACGTTTTGAACTATCATTGCAAACAAATATTGATCAATTGTACTGTGATTTCAGGAGCATCAGAAAACCCTAAAATGGGAAGTTACAAGAAAATGTGTCATGGGAGCTGCTGACAGAGATACAGGAAACACAGGTGATCTGAGAAATCGTATTAAGTAACTATGCATTTTTCACAATATATTTCAACTGTAAATCATGTATCTGTAAAACCTAAAAATGTGAATACTGATATCTTAAGATTTTTTTGTATATTATTATTTCCCACACCAGACTTCTCACTCACAAGGATTGCTGTCTACTAGATATTATGTGTACTCTTCAGACTTGGGTGCATGCAGATATTATTCAGGAATATGAACATTCGGATATTGCAAAAATAGAGAAAGTACCTTATTTAAGAATTTTGTGTTAATTGCGTAAATATAATTTTTTTTTAGGCCCTTGTCTGGAATCCAGACCTGGTCCACACTAGTACTGTAATACATTGCGGTATGTGGGCCAAGCAAAAGCTGGTTGTGTGGGCCGGAGCTGGGCCAGAGAAAAATTGCTATGTGGGTTGAGGCTGTTGTACTGCAGTCCGAAAAAGCTGATGGGAGTTAGGACTCAAGCTATTATCTAAGGCCCACCTATAGGCTTTGTTAGTTGAGATTAAGGGTGCTATAACATTGCAGAGTGGTTCACCTGACCCCTCATTTTGGGTCCAGGAGGGGTTTAAAAAAATATATTACCTCCACGAAGCAACCATCAGTGTTGTGATGGAGGTTGACAGGTGAAGGGGGGTGAAAGTCAAACTCAAAGTGAAAGCAGGCAATTGTGCTCACTAGTCCACGGAGGTGAGGCATGGTGGTCGTAATGCTGCTACAGGACACCGCCACCAGTAAGTTGTTGCAAGCAGCGTTCACCGAGATCACTGGAGTTGCTAGTTTCAGATCACTGACTGGTTGACATTTACATGGGACTGCTTGTGCTTTCCAGTCATTTACCAATAGTTCCTATCCATTCTTCAAGGCCCTGGTAACCTCTTTAGCGGTCTGCTCTGGCTAGGGATGTGTGAAATTGACAAACTGACAGAAATGCATTTTATTAATGGGTGATATTTGCCACCTTAATTGATTTCCAAGGGCATTTTTACCATGAAATGGCCAATTTCTCTAGTCTTATTGTATGAATCATCTTGTTAAATTGAAGAGACCCTTCCACATTTGCAGGTTACTCAGAAGTTTACCCAACTTTAAGGAGTTCTGCTGCTTTAGCAGTGAACGGGAGACGTCAATATTTTTTGCGTTCATATTTACAAAGAGCAAAAGAAACTCCAAACACATTTTCATGAAGTCACAAAGCTTTATTAGGCTTATACCCAACAACTATTGATGTAATTTATCATCCGTCAATAAAAAGTAAGGCCACTTTCGAGTCCACTCATCTGCTCAGTCAAGTGGTTATCTGGGAGACCTGTAGACTGAGGATAACCGTGCAGGAGAAGACGGTGATTTAGGGCTGCGGGGACCAAAGACTGGATACTGGGGCATGAAAGGGTATTTCACAGTTGGAGACACCGACTTCATGGGTTGATGCCCATAGAACGGTGGGTACATTGGATAACCTGGATACTGCTCAGGCTGGTATGGGGCAGTTGTGGTCATTGCAGGAGTGGTCACTTCAACTGGGCTTTGGAAGCCATTCATATAAGGAGGGAGCTTTGGGTACCAGGGATGTTGTGGTGCAAATGGGTAACCTTTAGAGTAAAAAGGATCAAACATTGGCATGGGATACATGTGAGGGAACATGGGTTGCTGGAAAGGATATTGAAAAGGAGGAGGTGGAGTTGTAGGGGGCACAGTGGGAGGCAGGGTAGCAGGAACACCAGGATATGGAGGATACCACCAGGGTCTTCCAAAAGGGAAAGGTTCAAACTTCTGTTGCATGTCAGTTGGGTCATGGACAGGTGTGGTTGGGGCTATGGTTGGCTGTGTCAGAGGACAGGAAAGAGTCACTTCCTGGTCACCGTACATCAAAGGGAGTCGCCTTTCAGTATCCTGAGGAAGACCAATCAACCGTACAAATGTATAATTACAAAAACAAGATAAATTCCACACATTCTGTGAACAACGGTCACATCAAGTGCACAGTTATTACCATCACTTCCCAACAGCTTCCTGTGAATGGTGCGGTGACAACCAATGAACCAGCAATAGTCTCCAGTGTAAATGAGCATTCAGTGTACTTCTGAAGCAGAGGCTGCCACGATCCATCAACTAAAAAGCAGAAAACCAGAGTCAAGCTCAAGGTAACCTCAACTATTAGATTGAATGCATAGAAATGGGGGACTTGCCTTTAACTTTAACATCATCTGCCCTGACACCAAATTTGACAATCATGCTAGAGGAGAAGCAGGACACCGTAGGGAGGAGAGGACTCACAGGGCAAGACATTTGCACTGGCGCTCCCATTATAATGAGCGGTAGAATATAACTTCCTCCCTGTTAGGAGATGGAGCAGTTAAAGTTAAAAGCCTTCAAACAAACTCACGAAAAAGGCATCACATGGACAGAACACTAACCAGTTTTCTGACATGACATCCCCGGTATGGAGCAACAAGAGAGACATCCCTGCGTGCCCGCTTCAGTGAGAAACCACAGCTAGCTGGCATCTCAGACAAAGGCACTGGTGACTCCTCTCCTGATGGTTGAGAAATTATGTTTGAGAGCAGAAGGGAAAAAAAAAAAAAAAAAAAAAAAAAAAAAAACACACACACACACACACACCTCGGTCAACCAGAAAGTGTGGCATTCTTGGTCCTGGAATGCGCAAGATCATGGAATCATTGCTACATCGCACAAAAGAACCCAGATGGTGCAGCTTAGTGCTAGCAGGGTGAAACCACGCTTAAAAGGAAAACAATTCAAGTTACGTAAGAGTACCCAACTCACAAAAAAAAAAAAAATCCCATTTTAAGTTTAGAATTTCAAGTTACCTTCCTCATTTGACCGGTGTCCATCTGACCTCAACGCAGATGTTCTGACATTCTCATTAGATACTGTACCTTGACCACCAATTAAAAGTTTACCAAAACGGACAGTGTTTTCAGAGACTGCTCCATAAGCAGCACCTGCTTCAGAAAAGGCCTCAGGATCAGCCCTTAAAGAAGAACTCCGTATCACCACAGCCATTGTGAAAAGTAAGATGCCTTTTGCCCAAGGCATGGTAAGTTTTCAAGCAAATGCCAAAAAATTCACAGTTATTGGGAAAAAAACCTTAAATCTACAGCTTGACAAGCTTTTTGAGACATGCTGTGCTATTTGTACACACTTTTGAATCACTAAGTGATATTGGATGACCAATCAAATCTGTTCCTCAATCAGCTTGTTGTTTTCACCTGTGCCTCTTGTAATTAAAGTCTACCTTGTTTCACATGCTGCATCTCAATGTGCCTACTTATACAATGCCCTTAAAGTATGTACTCTTTTGGTGAAGAAAAAGTACACACTTTTGAGTGTGTAGTAGAAGAGTAAGCAAGCTTTGGGACATACTGTCACATCACACAACTGCGTCTTTAACGGACGCTCTGTCGCATAGATACATGCACCCTGTCACTGTAAACTGGCCTGTCAATCATCTTGTCACAGTTAACATCCTCCACATTGCATTTCATTTAACTTCCTAACGTATTGGAGAAAAAAGAAGTAGCTCATTGATCTGCCAGTCACAGGTCTTTCATGCCGAGAACTAACAAACATATTGTTTGCATAATGATGCATTTAAAAGTTAACGACCAAAGGATGTTTATATTGCTGTTGCTGATGAAATATAACACAGATAACATTAAATATATTTTTTTACCAGGTTTAAATGTTGAATATTAATAACTCAAACCCCTTTTTCTAAGCCTCTCTATCTAACCGCCGGTCGCACACATCCGCCATGTTTGTAGTTTTTAACACATTTTATTCGTGTTTGTAGTTCTTGACAGAATCCTTCACCAAAGTACAATGGATTGTGGGCAATATTAGCAATTAGAGTGTGCACAGATCGACCTGAAATAGTAGAACATCTGGGGACTTTTGGCAAACTCTTTTCAACATACTATGCTTTGGGACACACTTATTCTAATCTCACATACTATTTAGGAAGGATAGTATGAACATTGAGACACAGGGAGAGTCAACCTACTCAGAGTCGACTGAGCTACCTCAATTCAGCTGTTCTGACCCCGAAAACTCCCATCTCAGGGTAAGTCAACTCAGAGTTAAAGTTTCAACTCAGAGTTGGTTGAACCTCTTTGTTGAAACGGGCCCCAGAACATAAAGCTGACAATAAGATCTTTCATTTTGGGCTAATGTTAGCCTATATGTTAGGGCTTTGCAATTAATCGCATGCGATTGTCAAGCGCATCTCGTCAGTAAAGCCAGTTCCGTGATTGGTAGTAAATCGCCATCACCTGCTTTCAGATGGAGCGGCATTTAATACACAGAGCCGTAGTTCACTGACAAGTTAGGCAATATCACGTTCATAATCGAATGCGATTCATCTACGATTATGAACGCGATATTGCCTAGCTTGTCAGTGAACTGCTTTCAGATGGAGCAGCATTTACTACACAGAGCCGTAGTTCACTGACAAGCTACACAAAATCGCGTTCATAATCGCAGATGATTTAATCGCGCGATAAAACCACATTTAATAAAGTTTTTACTCCAAACTCACTTCAAAACTTCAGTCGAGTGTTTGAAATAAATCCTTCTGTGAAATGATATGGCTTCTGTTTCAGCGCGAGAGCGCCCTCTGGCCTTCGGATGGATTTACTGCTGATCACAGAACCATGCTTCACTAGCTGCGTTTACATGGACCCAACTAATCCGATCGTAAAAAGACTAAAAGCACAAACCAAATAAAAAAGTCACATGTAACCACGTCAATCGGATTGAATTGGCCAGATCCAATTTCAATCGGATTGTAAGGGGTGGTTTATTCATTTTGTAATCCGAGAGAGAGGACATTTGATCGGATTGAAACACTTGATCGGATTGAAAACCGAAACTGGAAAGTACTGCGCATACACAGTGACATAGAAATAGCGTAATGATGTATGACACGCGGAACGAGCTGTTCTTCCTTGTGAATAAAGTGTCATAAATGAGTGTCCAGTCACTAGGCTTGTTTGAGATGCGCCTCGCCTCGCCTGAAATGTAGGCGAGAGTAGGCGGCTGCAGTGAGAGGAGGAGTGAAATAAGCGCAGTCAAGACGGACAGTTCTGACCTCTCGAAGTGGAACAGATACCAACGAGATCAAAGGCAGATATTGTGTTAAGCCGGGCTCACACTACAGGATTTTTTAGCTGAATTTTGCTGTCGCAGACAGATTTCCACAGTCTGCAACAAAACCCCTGGATCATGACCAAATCACGCTGAAGCTCGTTAAGTATGAGCAGGTCACCAACATGATCCGAACCTGTCTCGAGCTATCACAGACGCTACGATATTTTCAAACCTGTTTGATATTATCGCCACGTGATCTCGTAATTTGAGCGACACAATGACAAGGTGGAACTAATCCAGCCAATCACAGTGCAGATGGTATAGTCTTATCATGCAACTTTATGAACAGAAGCGAAACCACAAATTTATCAAATCAACTAACTAGAAAAAATTAACAAATGCATAGATTATGTATACTAATCGGATTGAAACACCACGTTTCATTGTACTGTTTAATTACCTCCAACTCTTTCTGCAGTACTGACAGTCCTTGTTGTCCACGTCCTCCAAGCCATTTTTTCTGCCATATAGTCTTTTGTTGTGGTTTCTTCTTTCTTTCGGATAAAATAACTGCACAGACCAATTGAAGGGCCAGTTGATCGTCCATGCTTGAAAAATGGCCAATAATCCCTGTAATTTCTCGTGAGAATTTATATGAGAAAACGTATTTTTGCTGATGGTGAGGAACACCTCTTCACTGAATGTTTTGTAGTGTGTGCACCTCGTTAGTGTTGTGTTGTATAGTATGCGCGCAGCTATGACAAGACGACGACAGATAAGAACAAATCTTGTTGCGTAGTGTGAGCAACACAGTGATTCGGCTAGCCATTCAATCCTGTAGTGTGAGCCCGGCTTAAGGTGTTTACATGTCTATGCTGCACTTCAATAATGCGACTAAAATAGGAATACGAATGTCTTAATTCGATTAGTGTTTACTTTGATTATGACTTTAACCGGATTAAGGTAATCAAAAATCTCTGTTTACATGGTAGAGGTCTTAATGAATTGATTAGTTTATCTCTCGAGTCTTCGGGTTTGAGTCGTTCGTTCATCACGTGACAGCCCCATAAGCTTTATTCTATGCAGTCTGAGCCAGAAAGATAATTGATTAGTTAATAGGCTTGTTTGAGATGCGCCTCGCCTCGCCTGAAATGTAGGCGAGAGTAGGCGGCTGCAGTGAGAGGAGGAGTGAAATAAGCGCAGTCAAGACGGACAGTTCTGACCTCTCGAAGTGGAACAGATACCAACGAGATCAAAGGCAGATATTGTGTTAAGCCGGGCTCACACTACAGGATTTTTTAGCTGAATTTTGCTGTCGCAGACAGATTTCCACAGTCTGCAACAAAACCCCTGGATCATGACCAAATCACGCTGAAGCTCGTTAAGTATGAGCAGGTCACCAACATGATCCGAACCTGTCTCGAGCTATCACAGACGCTACGATATTTTCAAACCTGTTTGATATTATCGCCACGTGATCTCGTAATTTGAGCGACACAATGACAAGGTGGAACTAATCCAGCCAATCACAGTGCAGATGGTATAGTCTTATCATGCAACTTTATGAACAGAAGCGAAACCACAAATTTATCAAATCAACTAACTAGAAAAAATTAACAAATGCATAGATTATGTATACTAATCGGATTGAAACACCACGTTTCATTGTACTGTTTAATTACCTCCAACTCTTTCTGCAGTACTGACAGTCCTTGTTGTCCACGTCCTCCAAGCCATTGTTTCTGCCATATAGTCTTTTGTTGTGGTTTCTTCTTTCTTTCGGATAAAATAACTGCACAGACCAATTGAAGGGCCAGTTGATCGTCCATGCTTGAAAAATGGCCAATAATCCCTGTAATTTCTCGTGAGAATTTATATGAGAAAACGTATTTTTGCTGATGGTGAGGAACACCTCTTCACTGAATGTTTTGTAGTGTGTGCACCTCGTTAGTGTTGTGTTGTATAGTATGCGCGCAGCTATGACAAGACGATGACAGATAAGAACAAATCTTGTTGCGTAGTGTGAGCAACACAGTGATTCGGCTAGCCATTCAATCCTGTAGTGTGAGCCCGGCTTAAGGTGTTTACATGTCTATGCTGCACTTCAATAATGCGACTAAAATAGGAATACGAATGTCTTAATTCGATTAGTGTTTACTTTGATTATGACTTTAACCGGATTAAGGTAATCAAAAATCTCTGTTTACATGGTAGAGGTCTTAATCAGAGTATTGTCTTAATCGTATTAAAATCAGAGTATTGTTGTCCATGTAAAAGTACTGACTGTGTCGCTCACATTATGAGATCACGTTGCGATAATATCAAACAGGTTTGAAAATATCGTAGCGTCTGTGATAGCTCGAGACAGGTTCGGATCACGTTGCTGACCTGCTCATACTTAACGAGCTTCGGCGACCGCAATGGGCATCGATTTGGTCACGATCCGGGGGTTTTGTCGTAGACTGTGGAAATCTGTCTGCGACATCAAAATCCAGCCAAAAATCCTGTAGAGTGAGCCCGGCTTAACCGGCATGCATCTCGCGGTGATCACCAGTGATCGGTTCTGCGCAGATTTTGCTCATCTCAAGCAAGCCTATTATAGGGTGACCATATGTGCCATTTTCCCAGGACGCGCAACATTTTGATGTCATACACCGATCGGTCTGCACACGCAAACAAAGCCAAAACATAGATATTTTAGGCAATATAGAAATCCTGGCCAGGACGCGTCCTGGGAAAATGGCACGTATGGTCACCCTAGCCTATTATAAAACTTCCCTTTCACTCAGTGTCTGTGAAGTGAAGCATGACAACGTCCCACCAGTCCTTTTTTTAAGACTGTCATCCACAGACGACTGGTTTTGGGTGCAGGAAGGGGCACTTTTACTGCTTTGTAAAGTAAGCAACACTGCACAACAGTTCATGTGCTGGTCGTCGCCTAGTTAGGACCCGAAGTAGATAAATATCACGTGTGCTTTTTAAAACAGTTTGTTACAACAGCGGGAAAACTCTGTATGT